TCTGTAAACCTGGAAACAGAAATTATTTAAGACCTCCCTATTTGATAAGAAGTGATGGGGAAATTGGAAAAAATATTCTGCCTGGAATTAAGCTTAGACCAACATCCTATTCCGTATTCCACAGTAAATTAAAAACACATATATGGAAAGAAATTTGGGATCATGCAAATAAAGTGGCTAAACTGTGCATATTCTTTGACTTAGGGATTCTGCAATTTAGCATATATAGTTTAGCGAGGACGTAATTAGCTAGATCTTATATAGTTCTTTAAAAGTGCTTTACAAATATTGTCTCATTTTATCTTTATGACAACCTGGGAGGTAGGTGCTATTATTATCCCCATTTTATAGATGAGGAAACTGACTCAGGAAAAGGATAAGTGACTTGCTCAGGGTCACAGAGTTAATGAGACCAGATGTGAACTCAGGTTTTCCTGACTTCATGTGTACTGCCCAATCTAGTGGGCCACCTAGATGCCTCTAAAAAAGGATTGTTTATTATATGTGATGGCTTTCTGGGAGACATTATGGGGAACACTACTAGGAGGTAATTAGGTCGCATAAAAACAAAATATAACAATGATAATTTATTCTTTAAAAGTGCTATTTTGAAAAGAGCCCTTAGACTTCATCAGACTGCCAAATGTGCCTTTGACATAAAAAAGCTACAGAACCATATTTTATAAACCCATCTGCAATTATAATATTTGAATCTATATATGTAATGCCAACACTGTCTTTGATGCTGAAAAGTTTATTATTAAAAACAATCTTTGCAGATTTTTTTCCCTCAAGTTGATACAAAATTGACTTCTCTGTAGCTGCTTACATCTTTTGTTCACAATTTAGCCTTTACAGGTTGTTCAGACCAAAATTAATCTCTTCCGCAAGACAACCCTTCAAATATTTAAAGGCATTTATTGATGTCTCATTTCCTTCCCCTAATTCTTTCCTTCTCTAGGATGATATATCCAGTTCCTTCTGAATTTGTGTTTGGCTTGTTGTATAGGGTCACTACCATCCTCCTCCTTCTGTTGGATGTAATTTGATTAGTAATTATTCTTTCTAAAATACAGCTACTAGATCTCCAGAAATGGCTTAACTTAGGGGAGAATAAAGTGGGACTTCCCTTACTCTTGCCATTGTAATTTATCTTAATACAAGTCCATATTAGCTTTTGTGACTATCATATAGTATTGATGACTCGTTTTGATCATGACCTCCCCTAAACTTTTTTTCCACATGCAAGTACATAACTTTATCATCTATTACTTCAGTTGATCCATGGTCTTATCATTATAGGTACTCCCCCTCAGCAGCACAAATTTTAACTAGTCCATGTGTTCTTATCTGGCATACTGCTTGTTTTTTGAGGCCTTGTGGTATAATAACTGGACTGTGGGATTTGAAGATAGGAAGACCTAGATTTGAATACTACTTCAGACAGCTGTGTGACCCTTGGCAAGTCATTTAACATCTCTGAACCCTGATGTCCATATCTGGGAAATAAAGATAACACCTATTATACAGGGTTGTTGTGATAGTCAAGGTAATATTAAGTGATATATGTCATCAATTATTGTTATTATTTCTATAATTATCCATAGAGAAGCTAACAAATGTGCTGAAAGCCTTCCTAAAGTTTTACTCTTTTGTGGAAAGTAATGTAGTAATTAGAATATCATTATTCTTTATTCTAGCTGCATGACTATATCATTTATCTGTGTTAAATTTTACAGCTTCGGTATCACAGGTTTAGAACTGGGAAGAACTTTAGAAAACTCCACTCATGTTGTATATGAGGAAACTGAAACCTAAAGTGATTTATTTTCTCAAAGTAACACTGGTACTTGTAGTGCTGTTATTTTAATCCAGTGATTTTGCTATTGCACAATGCTGAATCTCAGTTTATGACTGCTCCAGCCTGTGGAAATCTATTTGGATCCTGATTCTGGCATCAAATACATCAACTATCCCTCTCAGTTTTATGTTTATACACTATTTTGAGCTGTATCTCCATAACTGTACAAATTCACCAACATAAGAGAAATAGCCTACATTTCTTTACTCAGACAGAGTTTAGAATATTCAGAAATATAATCCAGTAGCTAAAGGGCAATGTAAACTATTTGAAAAATAAGACTGTAAAGAGCTATCAAATTGCTGTGTAAATAACTTACATGAAATACTTTTTAAGCAATATATGACTTAATAAAAACCTACATATATTAAAATTGTCCCAGCTCTGGCCATAATATGTTATTCTTCTCTTTTTCTTGCTCCTAAATTTCTATTACTCTAATACTAGTGTTTGTGAGATGGGACTCATTCAGGAATTTTATGGAGGCTTGCTCATTCTCTAGCTCACCTAGGTCCTAGTACTGTTGCCCTTCTTGACTTCTTGCTCTCTTGTTGAAAAGAAAACTAGATGTGAGCCTAAATAACTTTGGCATATAGTCATCAATATTTGCAATGAGCCTATATCCCTAACTTTCAAGGGGCTATTCTAATCCCATCGTGAGAACATTGCCATGTTTTATTTATTTTTTCCTCTTGAGTTCAATTTAAAAAGAAACCCTTCTAAGAACATGCTAGTTATCTAAAACCTTCTATTTTTGATGTGGTGAAATGTGTATGCACGTGCAAGAAAATGTGGAATTAATCTTATTGCCTATTTAATTTTTTTTTCTTTTGAGTCTACATTGTGTTATCCCTTTTCATCTCTTCTCCTTAATCATGAACACTATCACAGGATTCCATGTGACTGTATGTTCTGTTTTAATGGGAGGAGGTACTTAAGGTTTCTGTTACCTTTTTCATTATATTTATCCTTTACATAGTGCTTCAAGATGTACATAATGCTTTACATATGTTAAATAATTTGATCCTCTTTTATTTTAAATATCATGATGGCATTTAGAAACTTATAGAATGTAGTGAAACTAATAAAACATATGCAAGTTTCCTAACCATCATGTAGTTGTGTTGTTCTGTTACAGAGTGATTATAGGTCTACACTGCCAGTTTTCTACTTAATAATACCATGACATAAAAATATGGCATGTTTATTACAAATGCAAAATTAAACATTTAAACTTGCATATTCTGAAGAAGTATATGAGAACTTAGTTTTCTTGAGCCTATTTATTATCAGTTGAAGGAAAGGCATATAAAGAGATTTATGTAAAAATTATAAATTGAGTAAAGTTAACATTTTTAAAGAACTGCTTGTTCTAAAGTGTTATTTTATAAATATAATTTTCTTAATATCTTAATGTACTGCATAAAGAAGCTGCCTGCATTTTTTTTCTTTTGTAAAAATTATTATTTTAAAATTAATTTAATAACTTTTTTGTTTATAGACACGTCCTCCATAATATTGCCACAACTGATATCACTTCTCACCCACAACTGATACCACCTCTCACTAAGTTATTAAGTGATTGTTACTCAATCCAGCCACTATGCTTTGTCTGAGTTCAGTCATGCTGTATTGCCTACTGCCCTGCCTCACTTCAGTGATCCTTTGCCAATTTATTTCCCTTTCCTTACCAAACCCAGCTTATGATACTATTTCTATGGCACCAACCCCCTGAAATGTTTTTACAGAACTAATGAAATTGGTGGGAATTCCAATTTAATCATTATATATTAATTAAAACTTTTTATTCCCTCTCTTCCTTTTAAATTACTATGTTGATCTTAGGAGAAATACTGTTGACTTAGTAGATTAACAAAGATTAAAAAATAAATCTCCTTTTGACAAATTTTAACTTAAAGTATCATAAAAGTTGACTTAAATGTCAATGTAATGACTTTTAAGTGTTAAAGTTAGCTAATACAAATGTAATGCAGAAAAAAATATTTTTATACCAATCATCTAATTTCTCATGGTATAAAAATATATTCTATAAATATCATTACTTTTAGGGAGACTTTTTCCATCTTTATTTCACTTTTACAGTATTTATTACTGTATATATGACTGAAATAATTTATAATTAATAGTGCAACTCTTTTACAGTACTACTTTTGCATTTCACTGTGTGCAGGTTTTTGTTGGGGATATGATTTAATTTCAAATCTGTATGAATTTGTACCTATGTATAATAATAAGCTACATTATAATGTTGTTCTAAGCCCAAATCTGCTGTTATTGGTAGCGCAAGCAGGTTGAACTGGTAGAACATTGGCATTAAAAAGCTTTTTGGCAAAGATTAGGATCTGGATTTGGTTTTATGTATAACCAAACAGACCTCATCATCTGAAAAGCAGCACACCATTGACATAATAATCTTATCCGATTACCCTATATTTGATATGATTGCAGTACTTGATAAAAGTTGTGGCTGACACAAAATGACTAGTTTCATTTATTTATTTATTTATTTTAGTTTGAATCACATAGTCATGACTTCATGCCTAAACATGACTTTCAGACTTAGTCAGGTTCTCTGAAAGGCCATGTTTTTTCATAACCGTAATTTGATTCCTTAAGTAGAACTTTCAGATTTCATCAGTATATTCTGACTATGCCAAATGACTTTGATAACTTTGTTGCTATACTGATTACATTACTTTAGCAACTTGGAAAATAATGCATATATAGTTCTTTTCCTCCCCAGCCCACCTTTGGAAGATGTTAGGAAAAGGACTGTGCTATCACTGACCTCTTTGAAATATTGTAGATAATGATCCATAAAATTGAGTTCAGCAGCTAATACTAGATCAGTCATTGCCCTTTATTATACCTAAACAATTTCTATCTAGTACCTTCAGTAAAATTTGCTGATATTTAGTTGAAGGCAGAATTTGGATCATCATATGCTCTTCAGAAGCTAAAGGTTGCTGAAAGATGTTGAAAAAAATAGTAGCTCCTTCTTTATGTGCTCCATAACTTTAAACAGTGACTTTTCTCAAAATCAGTTTGATGCATCATAGCTTAATAAAAAGAAGAAGAGCTAAAGGTCAACTGAGCTGCTTTTTGACTAACATTACAGGAATTGTGAAGCAGCAGATAGACAGCCATATCACAGATCCAGATCAACAGAACAACGGCCTGTCCTAGAGCGGACCACCTCCCGCTCCAGATCCACTGAACGTCCTGATACAAACCTCATGAGGTCGATGCCTTCATTAATGACCGGAAGATCTGCCCCTCCTTCACCTGCCTTATCGAGGTGAAAGACAAATCAATCAGACTAACCTCCTTTTTGCCCCTCCAACACACCATTTTATTTTCCCAGTGGCTAATTGGTATCTCTTATCATCTTTGGCTGATCACCAGTAGTAATAGATACTAACCCCTTCAGTGTAAACACACTATTTATATTCAGTGGATATAATAGTGTGTAGCTACCATTGTAATTTGTTTATTAACTGTTTGACTGCATTTGTTTTGTGATTTCTCATTTATCAGGAGTCCTGGGTAATTTCCCTCATAAAGCATATCATAACCATCATGTTCTTCTCCTACAGAATGAGAAATTGTTTGTGTCCATTAGACATCGCTTATGGAATAGTCCTCATAATAACATCAAATGAAGCTTTTTCAAACTTTTCTTATGCTGATATTAATTTTATGTATTAACTATTATCTTTTCTGACTACATTTTAAATTGTTCACTGGTTTATTCTAAGTTCCTGATTTATTTTACAAATGTAATCTATTTCATATGAGCCTGCATATCTATTTAGACCAAAATAAGGAAAGTTAGAGTAGATTTGGAGCCAGGTATGAAGAAAAAATAAAACATCACCACATTTCTAAGCTACAGAATTCTCCTTCTGCTTTCATCTAGTTTGGATGTTAATTTTGTAAAAGTAATTCCATTAACTTTGCTGTATTAGTTTGTGTGCATGTGAGTGTGTATGTATGTATACATATCAACACACAACTATATTAACATCTTTTGGTATTTAGATATTGGTCATTATTTTATTTTATTTTTTCCTTTTAGATAGTGTTTTTCTTTTTAATCAACAACTAAAGCTCTTTAAATTAGCATTAATAAAGGTATCATATGTACCAAATTCATTTAAAAATCTCACATTTATTTCATATTGAGTATTCATGCTAGGTGTTTGTTTTTTATCAATATATGTTGTAGGTCTCATCCTCATACTGGCTCTGTCCAAACAAGCCCATCAAGTACTCCAGTGGCAGGACGCAGGGGACGACAGCTCCCACAGCTCCCGCCAAAGGGGACTTTGGAAAGAAGTAAGTTTTATTTCAAATTATGTCATTTAGGAAATGCCATTGGATTCTAAGGTGAATAAACATTTTCTTTACCCTGTTGAATTAATTTTAAATGTTCTTTATCATCATTTATGTTCATATTAGTATACAACTAATTATTTTTGGCAGCATATTTTCATTTATTATATGTAAATTTTCCTATTTAAATCATTTTAAAGATTTTTAATGCATCAAAAATAGGGGAAAAAGTAAACATGGATAATATTCTTAAAGGATGAGTTCAATGGTAGTTTTGTTGCTATGAATAAATTTAAATACTTGTTGTTAGTTAAAAGAAGTAACTAGTCAAATCAATTTTCATACAACTGCAAAGGACGGTTAGCTGATGTACAACTATGGTGATCCTTCTCAAAGCTGGAATATCAGAAAAAGGTAATGATTAACATAAGAATAAAAATGCATGTTGTACTGATATTTTAATGCTATCATAATTTGGCATAAGAACCACTATTTACACACACATATACATGATACCCAATAAACTCTTGATTAAAAGACATTTTTGGAGATAGAATATAATAATAAAACATCTTTGCTCGTTTATTTGTTAAATAATTTGTGAATCTTCATTTGGTTCATGGATGTGACTTACAAAATATATTGAAATGCCCATGTACATATTTTCCTTTTGAGAAGATGCATACTGTGCCTTTACATATTTCTGTTGTTTTTAACCCCTGTGCTTTGGTTCCCTTTTTGTTTTGTTTTTGTTTTATTTTCCCTAGACAATGGAGACAAGGAGATAGAACCTTATGAAGGTCTGTACATAAAGGAGGGTTTGTTTTGTGCTGAAAGCCTTTTTTTGGGGGGCTGTGTAAGCAAAAATAAACCCAACTGCAATTGATGTTCCTTCATTGTAAGGACTTTTATTAGTTTAGTAAAATTATTTTATGGTGTATAATCAAGTATTTTTAATTTGCATTAATACCAACAGGTTTTTTTCTAATAAATTTCACCTTTAACCAGAATTCCATGCTTAGAATAAGACTTTAACCAAAGATATCAATTGCAGTCTGTGTTTATGTCATTGAGGGTCTATATTTACTTCAAATGTATCTATCATCAATATTTCATCTAGTATTTATTATTTTATTTCAGTTGTCAAATTTAGATTTAAAAGTAAAATAAAAACAACTTTTTACCTTAGCATATATTTTCTGCATCATTTTTCCGGATGCACATAGAATGTTTAGCAATATAAAAAAGTTAAATTTTATGTGGATATTTTATCAGTATTTTATTATAATATGAAAAAAGATGAACTTGTTAGAAATGAGTCAAATTTATTTAACATAAATAGTATCATCTTGATATTATACAATTCTTGGAAGATAGGAAACTATCTCTAGTTATAGAGCAGCTGAAGGCACTCTTTTAGTTAAGAACACTTATTGAAAGAAGAAAAGCTGGTTAGAAAGTGTTATTAAAAGGAATAATTTTACTGAGGGAATAATTTTAGGATTTTAATTTTATCTCGATAATTTATGAAGAACAAGTATAATAAAATATAAGTATGTTGTATTTAAATAACCATTTTGTGGACTAGTTTGTGATTTTGTTGTGGTTAACTGATTTTTTTCTGGTTACTTATAAGTAGATACTATGGATATGAATGTCAGTGCTTTTATGACTAGTGGTCTGATACGTTGCATATGGACATTATTTTTGAACAAGAATAAGTTGTGCAGAAATGAGAGGCAATGTGGTATAGTGGGATAAGTGCTATATTTGAAGTCAGTGAACTTGGATTCAAATCCTGACTTTACTACCTACATGACCGTGGGTAATTCAATTGTATTTTCTACACCTCTGTTTCCTTATCTTTAAAATGAGAGCGATGCACTGAATGCCTTCTTGGTTCCTTCTAGTTCTAAATCTAAGATACTATGAGTCAACTTTTTACTGTGGACCTAAAAGTGCCAACTTAAAAGGCCTTTGTATTAGAAAGACTGCTTTTAGAAACATATGTATATATACGAGTGTGTGTGTGTGTGTGTGTGTGTGTGTGTGTGTGTGTGTGTGTACACTCCTTCCTGGTAGAAGGAGAGGGAGAGAGAGGAAACAATGAGTCTTAATAGATACATAAACTAGCCTTGGAGTTAAAAGGGTCTGTATTTGTCTACCTTCTGGTACATGCTAGATATGTGACTGTGGGCAAGTCATTTAACTTCTCAGTTTTCCAAGTTCTCTAAAAATTGTAGAGAGTTGCTCATTTGTATTTGCAGAGGATTTTCTCACCAAGAGTTCCCTTTGCTGATGAAATCACAAGTCTATACATATACGCATGTTTATACACACACACACACACACACACACACACACACACACACACACAGAGTATGGTAGTATTTCTTTCTCTCTGAAAAGTACTCTGTTGAATAAAGTTCCCAAATCAGCTTTTCAAATTATCTCTAAAAGATCTTGGAAAATTCCATTTCTAATATTAATTCACACTATATGTAGTCACTATTGAAATACAAGAGATAACAGCACTTTGAAAATTGATCATATCTGTATATTTTTTTAAATTTATCACCAGAATAATCAGGATGTGGGATTATATTGAAAGGTAGTGGTGGCTTGAGTTTCTAATGAGATTTTCAGGACTTTCTTTTTGCAATTAGTTGTTTTTATAAAATAAACTTTTAGTATGTAGTGTCAAAAAGTGGTGGAGGGAACAGCTAGATGGTGCATAGAATGCAAGGCCAGAAGTCAGGAAAACTCATCTTCCTGAGTTCAAATCTGACCTCAGACACTTACTAGCTGTGTGACCCTGGGCAAGTTACTTAAACCTCTGTTTGCCTCAGTTTCCTCATTTAATGAAGTGGTGATAATAGCATCTGCCTCCCAGGATTGTTGTGAAGATTAAAGGAGATAATTGAAAAACACTTAGTAGAATATCTGGCACATAGTAAGTGCTATATAAATGTTAGTGATTATTTATCATCATCATCATTATTATATAGAAAGCCATCTTTTGCCTTCTATTGCTCTTTATCTCATATATGTATATATACATATATATACATATATATACATATATACATACATGCATACATACACATATATATTATATTTATGCGTGTGTATGTATGTGTGTGTATATATATATATATGTATATGTACATATATATAATGTTTGCACACTGGGATTTGCTTTGCATTCTCATATTTATTTGTTTTCATTTGGGATTTCCCCTTATTGTTATTTTATGTAGCTATCGAATAGAATTTAAAATATAATGAAATCTCCTTGAAGATCACTTGCATTCGAAAGTATTCTGCCTAAAAGAATGAATTTTATTGTGTATGTACTGGTGATATTTCTTATAGAAATAATTAATTTTGAATCTAATGGGATTCTATTCTAATGTGAGCATGCAATTACCAGTGAAACAATTTGTATTTCATAGGGATGTTCCTAATATATTTCAATACTTATAACACTTCGACTTAAATAAATAAAAATATTTTATAATAGGAAAAAATCTTTAATAGCAAACTTCACTTCGAGGTAAATATTATTCATATGGACCCCTGTACCCCTAGATAAAGTTTTCTCAGTCATTTACCCTGGCATGCCCATCTGAAGAGCACCATTTTTCTGAGTTTCTTTAAATACTTAAGAGTTGTAGTGTATTGCTCTAATATTAGAAAGTGCTGGTGCTTGCGTAGACAACTCGAAACAGTCATCATTTCCAGAAGGGGAGAAGGGAATAAAAAGAAGACTCTTTCATCAGTGTGCTTTTCTATCTCCATTCATGGCAACAGACTAATGAGTCAAGAGAAAGCCCTGAATACAGATGAGTTTTTACTTTGCTCTCTATTCTCAGTGGAAGAAAAGAGGACTTCCCTTCTGGCCATGGAAAAAGTAGGTTTCTTTTTGAAATAGTTGCCACAATCTCATCCCTGGTTTACCTATACATATCACTTTCCTGCCTTTAAATTAGGTATTAGAATATGAAATAGTTTGTCCTAGTTCAGAATAAACTTTAGTAATATAGACCTGAATTGCAGGTAATAGGAAATTTATAAAGGTAATTATGAACCTCTGTTCAGTGATATACAATATTTAAGTATCACCTCAAGATATTCAGAGTGTTTTATAAATATTATCTCATATATTCCTGTACAATTCTGTGAAGTAAATAATACAGATTTTCTTATCCTCTGTTTACATATGAGAAACCATGGCCCAGAAAAGGTAAGGAATTTGCCCATAGTCAAACAACAGTAAGTGTCAAAGGTGGGATAAGAACCCAGGTCTTCAAACTCTGCATCCAGAAGTCTTTTATTTTATTTTATTTTTTACTACACCGCACTCCTTGTTAATGAAGGTTCTTTTCTGGTCACTAGCTCCTTAAATTTCAATTTATATATTGTGGTTTATATTTTGAAATTTTGAAATATCTGTGCACAGTATGTTACAAACTTTTTCATTTTGTTTTTTGTTGAATTCATTTCAATTTCTTCAGCATCAGTACTCCCTTCATTGACACATCATGTTCTCTCCATTCCTATCGCATGTCTGTTCACAACTCTCAGAGGATCTACCCAAATCATTTAGGCTACCTTTTGTTGTTTAGTATCTTGGACAGTCAGTCTATCATTTCTCAATCTACATATATATAATTCAATTCAACTCAAATGGAGCAACATTTTAAAACACTCACTATGTACCAGTACAGACACAAAATAAAATAATCCCTGTCCTCAAAGAGTACACAACCCATGGTGGAGACATAGAATGTATAGATAAGTAAATGCCAGTATAAAGTAATTTTAGGAGGGAAAGAATATTAACAACCAGCATCATAAATGGCCTTGTACAGAAGCTGACAATTATTAAAATACATTTTCAATTAACAAGTCATGTTATTGTTTGCTATTAACATCCTCATAGTAATAAAATAGTGCTCCTGAGTTACAATTTAGTGGGAAATTAATTCAGCTAATTTGCCTCTAAAAGTAGTTTTACTCTAAACGTGTAGTTTTACCATTAGAAAGTAACATTATATAATTTAAGGTCAAATAAATTAAGATTCAATAACTTGTACACAAGGGAGGCCTCCAACTAAAAATAAATGAGTCATTCACTAAATACATATTTATGAAGTGCCTGTTATGTACCAGGCGCTGTGCTGTGTTAAGCACTGGGGATACAAAGAAAGCTAAAAGACAGTCCCTATTCTCAAGGAGCTCACAGTTTAAGGGGGGAAACAACATTTAAATGACTATGTCCAAAGAAGATATGTATTAGATAAATTAGAAATATTTAATAGGAAAGGCACTATAGTTAAGGAGGATTGGGAAAGACTTCCTGTAAAAGGAATAATTTTAGTTAGGACTTAGAGGAAGTCAAGGAAGCCAGGAGGCATAGATAGAAGGGGAGAACATTCCAGGCATACAGGACAGCCAATGAAGATGACCAGATTTGGGGAGATGAAGTGTCATGTTCGAGGAAGAGCAAGGAGGCCACTGTCACTGGATCTGACAGAGTATATAAATTGAGAGTGGGTAAAGTCTAAGACTGGTAATGTGAGAGGGGCAGGACATGAAGAGCTCTGATGACAAACAAAGGATTTTATATTTGATCCTGGAGGTGATAGGGAACCACTGGAGTTTATTAAAGGGTTTTGGAGAGGGGGAGAATGGTGTGGTCAAATGTACTCTAGGAAGATCACGTTTAACAGCTGAATGAAAGATCGACTGAAATGAGGAAAGATTTGTGGCTGTCAGAACAACCAACTGGCTCTTG